TGGATTTTTACCAAAACCTAATCAAATCTGCGCATTGGCCCAGAGCATCTATGCACCAAGTTTCATGAAAAACCGATGTATGGTTCTTGAGATAGCAGTGGAACAGTCGGACACACATACACACACACACACATACACACATACACACATACACACACACATACAGACACACTAACTGCAAAGACTCCCATTTTGTGCTTCGCACATGGGAGTCAAAAATACTAATTATGCAACTTGGTAATTAATATACATTGATATCAAGTTTCATTGTAATGTGATGATTATTACCAGTACTTGTGATATCAGTGGAAAAGCCGAGAATTGACTAATCACTATGCAAATTAGGTAGTATGCACAGATTTTTACCCAAAACTAATCAGGTCTTCACAGTCTGAAAGCATCTGTGTACCAAGTTTCATCAAAATCCAATTAGTAGTTTTTTAGATCTCAGTGAAAGAGCTAAAAATGTGCCAATTGTCATGAATGGTTTGTAAAAAACAAAATAGAGCATCTATGCATCAAGTTTCATCAAAAACCAACATGTGGAACAGGACATACAGACACACTAACTGCTTCGCACACAGGACTAAAAAAAGTTGCATTGAAAGGTGAACAGTTCAAGGCTCGGTAATAAGTATCACAGAAACATTTGGTGATGTATTTGACAATGGTTGTCGTTTAATTAAAACAAAGTTTAAAGACGTGATTATGTCATCATAGGTTCTCATTTGTATTTGCTGGCTTTGGGAACATGTTTAAACAAAACTGGCATGCACATAAACCACCATATCTTTGTGTCAGAAAATAAACAAAATATGGCTGCCAGTGAAATCATGAAAGCACAAGTCAAGTGACGTAGTTGCCACTCTTTAAACTATATTGAAATGGGTTAGCCATGTTGAATCAGCATATGTGAAGATTAGTTCAGCATACACAGACAAATGCACAGAGATGAAATTACAAGTCCTTGTAATTTGTAATACTAATGTAATACTAATAATGTTCACCATGAGCAAACACAGTTTATTTACGATCAAATCAATCACTGTATTTCACGAGTTTCAGCCTGGGCACAATATTCATTGACTGTAGTTCTTGGAATAATAGTTTACAGGCATACGGTATCCGTAGAGATGACACATTCTGAGAAGACTTACAATAATGACACCTGTGAAGAAACAAATTAAACGAATTATGCATACACATGTAGTGACAGTGGTAGCCATAGCAGACAAGTTATCATATATCCAATCCAAACTTACCATCCAGTATATCCTAGCAGACTACAGTTATCATATATCCATTCCAAACTTACCATCCAGTATATATTCTAGCAGACTATAGTTATCATATATCCATTCCAAACTTACCATCCAGTATATCCTAGCAGACTACAGTTATCATATATCCATTCCAAACTTACCATCCAGTATATCCAAGCAGACTACAGTTATCATATATTCATTTCAAACTTACCATCCAGTATATATTCTAGCAGACTACAGTTATCATATATTCATTTCAAACTTACCATCCAGTATATCCAAGCAGACTACAGTTATCATATATCCATTCCAAACTTACCATTCAGTATATCCTAGCAGACTACAGTTATCATATATCCATTCCAAACTTACCATCCAGTATATCCTAGCAGACTACAGTTATCATATATCCATTCCAAACTTACCATCCAGTATATCCTAGCAGACTACAGTTATCATATATTCATTTCAAACTTACCATCCAGAATATCCTAGCAGACTACAGTTATCATATATTCATTTCAAACTTACCATCCAGAATATCCTAACAAGCCACAGTCACCACACACGTCTACTTCAAATTGGTCACTAGAGATCATCAGTCTTTCCAATAGCAACATACTAGCACCATATCCAATTAAACAATCACGTTCCATTTCACCTAATCTTAAACCACCGTCTCTGTAAAAAACAATTCATATTAGAGTTGAAACACAAAATGATGTGAAGAAAATATCCATCAAGATCTGGTTTCAGGATTGCAAAAATGTTTGTCTCTGATGATTTTTCGACTTTAACACAGCCTATATTTGGCCATCTTGAATTTGACTGTCAAACAAACAAACGTACATATCCCAAGCTATTTTATGTATTCTGAAGTTTGAATGTGATCAGGCCAGTCATGTTTGAATGTGATCAGGCCAGTCATGTTTGAATGTGATCAGGCCAGTCATGTTTGAAAAACAGGTAGAATGGAATAATGCACATAAGTTGATATATAGTAAAGGAGGAAACTATATTCTGTCTTGGAACTAAAAAACCTCATAGAATTAACAAACTGTTTAACTCATTTATTGAGCTTACTACCTTATGCCTGTAACATGTTCTATTGTGGAATCATTTAGCGATTCTATTTTATAGTTGTTGTGTGTGTTCTTGCGTTCTTATGTTCTACCTATACATTTAAACATTTATTCCATTGCTTGAAACGTCTAGCTATTTTTCAATAGTTACTTAGGACAACGATTTCCAAATATTATCTACTATATATCATATTTATCGGTCCGAGCAGCGTTTATTTTTAACTACATTTCACAAGTTCTTGTTTTCAAACTTTGTTTAAACAGAATACTAATTTGGGTGAAGACAATGACACCAAAAAAGTCAGGAGAGACAACAGTGACATTCAATGTCCGGAACTGACGCCTGGCATAAAAAAAATCTAAAAAAAAAATGACACCATTAATTACACAGTAAACATTATACAAACCGTACCTTGATCTACCTTCAGTTGGTTGCCGTGTCAACACTGCTCTCGGTCCTTTTGCTCTGGCATGCATTTTATCCAATACCATATGTTTCAACTTTTGATAGTACACTGGACCAAAGTAGATGTAGGCACTTAAAGGTTCTCTGTAAAATAGTTGCTTTGTCAGTTTACACTGATTTTATGTGGAAGACATTTTATTAGTTAAAATAACTCATTTTCTTTAAATTTAGAATTTGGTTTAGATGTTCAGTTTATAAAAGTTTTCAGTTTATAGTCGTGTTCAGTTATGGAGGTGCTGGCAGAACTCTGTGAATAAATTTAACTAGAATGGTATTTCACCCAGTATATAAGTTTGTTATTTCATCACATACGTTCTCCATATACAACGTATGAATCATCAACGTCTCCCAACTGCACAATTCAAACAATAGGCATTATAAACACGCGACCTGACGATAGAAATAACTCTGCTGTCTTCATTATCATGGAACAAGAATCAGTAAAGTGGCATTGTGGTTGATGGTTTTGGACTAGTTGTCAAAAATAACATTTGTTACCAAAAATGACAAAAACATTCACTAAAAATCCAAATTTGCATATTTTGAGACAAATTTAACAAATCTAACAGAAGACCACCCCACGTATCTTTGCTGCGAATATAAAAGCAATTGGATTCACGGTTTAGGACAAGTTGTCAAAAATAACATTTTTTACCAAAAATTACAAAAATATTCACTTAAAATCCAAATTTGCATATTTTGACAAAATCTGACAGAGGACCACCCCACGTATCACTGCTGCAAATATCAAAGCATTGGGACTTAAGGTTTCAGACTAGTTGTCGAAAATAGCATTTTTTACCAAAAATGACAAAAATATTCACTATAATTCCAAATTCGCATAATTTGACACAAATTTAACAAATCTGACAGAGGACCACCCCCAAGTACCTTTGGTACAAATATGAATGTAATTGGTCAAGTACTTTTAAAGAAGAAATCATTTTAAGGAAAACTTCACGTCGCTGGAGAGACTCCCATACCAACAGCTCCGCTGGGTCATCTGCGATGACAGTGGGGCAAAATATGTAAATGCTGCATGTTATCTGACTAACATGGCAGATTACGATAAAGCCAACAACTCACCAATTATGACTTTTTTACTGGATTCCAATAACAAATAGTGACTTTTTCTAGTATTTTAATTTATTAGCACCACATGGGAGTTTTATATCCTGTCTATATATACACACAGATATGTATGAATGATTAATATAGTATGTAATTTGACTTAGAATTGGGTAATATAACAATGTATGTCATGAAATAAGGAAAATGTACTAAGTTGTGCAGAGTTGTACTGTCTAAGAAGATATTCAATTCTTAGACACTACAGGAGTGTTTAGTTTATAGAGATATTTCATGGAGAAAGGATTGTAAAATGTTATGGTCTGACATGTTTCCCACGTAGGTTAAATTTAGACAGGTTATAATTATTTTCAAATATTTTGGTAACCACATATGTACATGCATGACCCATAAAAACTCACCCTGTGATTCCAGATGTCATATATTCTTTACCAAGGTAATTATAACCATATTTTATTAGATCAGCACTAATATCTTCCACCTTATCTCCACCAAAAGCTGTCAAGAAACAGACATAATATATCATGAGTGGATGGACAAAGATTGACAGTAACTGCATGTTTGTTTGACCAAGTCTGTCTGTTTGTCAAGATATGTTGAATGGCCATTTTGAATCTGAACTACACACCAGTGTGAATGAAATCTGTCCAATTTATGTTCAAGATCTGGTTTATTTTTTCTAAATGTTATTTAGTTATCTTGAATCAGATGACAAAGTGTGTACGTATGTGCAACATAATGTAGATGTATTTCTAAGGTTTGCATATGATTACAGGTGCGGATACATGCACAAAGGTCAAATTATTTATTGTAAGTATTTCATTGATTTTCAAACCACAATAATACCAAGTACAATTTCAATGCATTTCAGCTCAATTCAAATACAACTAAAAACATTTAAAACGCATTGGTCAAATAAACTGAATAAAATGTCAAAATCAAACCATCTCTCCCTTAGGGTAAGTTACCCTTATGATCTGTGTTTGCTATACATCCGGTAATAATTGGTGGCAGCACAATTTTCAATTGTATGTTTTACATAATTTTATCCTCTTACATAAAATGCAAGTGATTAGAAGTGATGAAAAAAATCTGTCTTTTCAGATATATATTCATCTTATCATGACTCCAACCTTTCATAATAGAATCTCCCATAACCCGAACTGTTCCATAATAGAATCTCCCATAACCCGAACTGTTTCATAATAGAATCTCCCATAACCCGAACTGTTCCATAATAGAATCTCCCATAACCCGAACTGTACCATAATAAAATTTCCCATAACCTAACTGTTCCATAATAGAATCTCCCATAACCTACCTGTTCCACAATAGAATTTCCCATAACCTACCTGTACCATAATAGAATTTCCCATAACCTACCTTTTCCATAATAGAATTTCCGATAACCAACCTGTTCCACAATAGAATTTCCCATAACCTAACTGTTCCATAATAGAATCTCCGATAACCTACCTGTTCCACAATAGAATTTCTCATAACCAACCTGTTCCACAATAGAATTTCCCATAACCTACCTGTTCCATAATAGAATTTCCGATAACCTACCTGTTCCACAATAGAATTTCCCATAACCTACCTGTACCATAATAGAATTTCCCGTAACCTACCTGTTCCATAATAGAATTTCCGATAACCAACCTGTTCCACAATAGAATTTCCCATAACCTACCTGTTCCATAATAGAATTTCCCCATAACCTACCTGTTCCATAATAGAATTTCCCATAACCTACCTGTTCCATAATAGAATCTCCCATAACCTACCTGTTCCACAATAGAATTTCCCATAACCAACCTGTTCCATAATAGAATCTCCCATAACCTACCTGTTCCATAATGGAATTTTCCATCCAATATTCCAGCTTTGCCAGCCAGTAGCTCTATTAATTTGCCCACTGTCATACGTGAGGGGAATCCATGAGGATTCATCACCTACAATAAATGACAATGTTGCAGTCAATTTTGTTTTGATTTGTCTAAAGGCTAATAAAATAGTTCAGGAGAAAATCCTGGAATCTGTTTAGACAGGAAGTCACAGTAATTTTCACAAAATATTATTGTGAACCCCAATAAATTTAGAAAATCATGAAATTAACAATTTAGAAAATCATGACCAAGTTTAATTTTATTATACTTACAACATCAGGACATATTCCTTTGTCATTGAACGGCATGTCTTGTTGCGGGACGATCAAACCACACACACTGTCAGAAGAACAAATAAAAGTTACTTGGCTACCATCAAAACTTATTACCACATTTCATTGACTTTTACCACACAGCTTTATTTTAAGAGTTATTATGAGTTAAGAATTATCTGTCTGTTATCTCATTCAAAACCTCCATTTACCATGTATTTTTTGAACATTTAAACAAACTATCTAGTCATTAGATTACATAAAGGACCTTAAACAAGCCATGCATGGAACAGTCCTCATTAGTTATCAAACATAAGACATATAGTTCAAACATAAACATGTTAGAGATTTGAATCCAGAAGCTGATGCTTGATTATGGTGAAATGATTGATATTTAGTGATCTTGTTTCTGATAGTCAAATGAGTACTTGTCGATATTGAGAGATATTGGTGTGGAATAGCATTAATTAAAGCAAAATAGCCATTTTCAATACATCTGTATATCTATAACATGATGTAAAACAAATATATAAAATATTAAGTCAAATCATGTCAGAGATATGGCACAGAACCACATTCATTAAAACAAAATGGCCACCAGTCAGCCATTTTAAATCAGATTTGAAAAATAAAATGGTGTGCATCAGAGACCCATAATGTCTTATGTATATACCAAGTTTAAACAAAATCCATCCATAAACGACCAAGATTCAGTTCCACAATGCAAAAATGCTTTATTTTTGATAATTTTTGATCCTGAATCAGATCCTGAATAAAATTGATGTGCATATGTATAATATTATGTATGATGTATGTGTGAAGTTTGAATGTAATCAGTCCAGGCATGTCTAAGATATAGGTCTGGATGCACACAAGAACACACACTTGGACGCACACGCAGTGGTCAAACCATAAGTCCGCGTTTTCAGACAACGTCCGAACGGGGACTAACAGATGACAGATGAAGCTTGCTACCTCAGACAATAATATTTTATGGCTTACCTCTGCGTTCAGGATTCATTGATATTTACTTCAAAGAACCTTACCCAACATTTTAACAACTTTCCGAGTGACAAAAGTTTATTAACATGACAGAATAATATTCAGAAACTGGCAAGAGCCAAACATTTTTTTATTTTTTACCAAATTGGTAAAGTAGATTAAATTATATAACTACTTTTGCTCTTAATCTTTCTGTCTGTGCCAACTGTTGAACTTATCACTTATCCTTTCTGTCTGTGCCTACTGTTGAACTTATCACTTACCCTTTCTGTCTGTCTGTGCCTACTGTTGAACTTATCACTTACCCTTTCTGTCTATGCCTACTGTTGAACTTATCACTTACCCTTTCTGTCTATGCCTACTACTGAACTTATCACTTATCCTTTCTGTCTGTGCCTACTGTTGAACTTATCACTTATCCTTTCTGTCTGTGCCTACTGTTGAACTTATCACTTATCCTTTCTGTCTGTGCCTACTGTTGAACTTATCACTTATCCTTTCTGTCTGTGTCTACTGCTGAACTTATCACTTACCCTTTCTGTCCGTGTCTACTGCTGAACTTATCACTTACCCTTTCTGTCCGTGCCTGCTGCTGAACTTATCACCAATTTCAGGTGTTCTTGTTTGTCTCAATAATATCTTGATAAGAAAAGCTTCTTCGCTATTAGATGATACCATAACTTTCTCAATGTAAGAATCAGCAGCACTCTTGTACCTACAAATTCAGTATACGTAAATGACTTTTTGAAATTCACATGATGCCCCATCTTGACTGCCATGGTGTATGGATGTCCCACCCTGACTGCCATGGTGTATGGATGTCCCACCCTGACTGCCATGGTGTATGGATGTCTCACCCTGACTGCCATGGTGTATGGATGTCTCACCCTGACTGCCATGGTGTATGGATGTCTCACCCTGACTGCCATGGTGTATGGATGCCCAACCCTGACTGCCACGCTGTATGGATGCCCCACCCTAACTTCTGCTGTATGGATGCCCCACCCTGACTTCCAAGGTGCATGGATGCCCCACCCTGACTTCCAAGGTGCATGGATGCCCCACCCTTACTACCATGGTGCATGGATGCCTCACCCTGACTTCCATGGTGTATGGATGCCCCACCCTGACTTCCAAGGTGCCTGGATGCCCCACCCTGACTTCCAAGGTGCATGGATGCCCCACCCTGACTTCTGCTGTATGGATGCCCCACCCTGACTTCCAAGGTGCATGGATGCCCCACCCTTACTACCATGCTGCATGGATGCCTCACCCTGACTTCCATGGTGTATGGATGCCCCACCCTGACTACCATGGTGTATGGATGCCACACCCTGACTGTCATGGTGTATGGATGCCCCACCCTGATTGTCATGCTGTATGGATGCCCCACCCTGACTGCCATGCTGTATGGATGCCCCACCCTGACTTCCATGCTGTATGGATGCCCTACCCTGACTTCCAAGGTGCATGGATGCCCCACTCTGACTACCATGGTGTATGGATGCCCCACCCTGACTACCATGGTGTATGGATGCCCCACCCTGACTGCCATGGTGCATGGATGCCCCACTCAGACTGCCATGGTGTATGGATGCCACACCATGACTTCCAAGGTGCATGGATTCTCCACCCTGACTACCATGGTGCATGGATGTCCCACCCTGACTTCCAAGGTGTATGGATGCTCCACCCTGACTACCATGGTGTATGGATGCCCCACCCTGACTACCATGGTGCATGGATACACCACCCTGACTGTCATGGTGTATGGATGCCCCACCCTGACTACCATGGTGTATGGATTCCCATCTTGACTGCCATGCTGTATGGATGCCCCACTCTGACTGTCATGGCGTATGGATGCCCCACCCTGACTGTCATGGTGTTTGGATACACCACCCTGACTGTCATGGTGTATGGATGCCCCACATTGACTGTCATGGTGTTTGGATACACCACCCTGACTGTTATACTCCACCCTGACTGTCATGGTGTATGGATGCCCCACCCTGACTGTCATGGTGTACGGATGCCCCACCCTGACTGTCATGGTGTTTGGATACACCGCTCTGACTGCCATGGTACGTACCATCACAGTAACACTAACACTTGGGTGCATTTAGTGCAATATTACAATATACACATGGGTACACATTACAGTACTCTTAATATATACTCACACTTGGGGTACATCACGGTACTCTGGTGGCCTTTGTTCACCAGGTGAACTCATTGTAACTGTTGGCATATACTTATTTACTAATACTTGTTTACTTGTAACTCTTTCACCTGAGTATAAAATACATTTCTCTGTTAGAAACATAATTCCATACTAAACATACATCTCATGGTATTTGTTAATGTAGATTTGTTAGTAACACAGTGTGATTTATTATTTAAAATGTATTCACTGTACATACAGTAACATCTGTTAATAAACTGTTGTAAATAAAAAGCAGTGTTTTCCGAGCAAGTAATAATTAAACGGAAAGTCAATGTTGTGAATTTTTATAGTTGCCTAATATTATGTGTATGTGTTGTTAATTGAAATGTATTTGTTGTTGTTGAAAATTGTGTGCGTGTCGAATTCTAAGGGTTTTGGAAAATTGAAGTTGCCAAAACCCGAATTAGATATTCCCTTTTCAGGCTGCGCCTGAACGGGGAATAGAAAATATTCATCAAAATTAGGGAATTGTAGATTTCATGATGAAATGAACAAATCTGAGAGGTCCACCTGTAGTATGTATATGTGTAATATCAAAACAATCAGACTTGCTGTTTTTAAGAAGAAGTTTAAAATATCACTTTTTACTAAAAATGACAAAAATATTTACCAAAATGAGAAAATTAAATATATCATCACGAAATGAACAAACCTAAGAGAGTTCTATGTGAGGTACATATACACCAAGTATCAAAGAAATCACACTCATAGTTTTCAAGAAGCAGTTGAAAAAGGAGACAAGGATAGCGGATGCCTGATAACTACGAACAAAGTCAACAGCTAACAAGATCAAAGAAAGCTTAGAAAGAACTCCTGTGTGCTGAGAGTTTTGGAGACACATTAAAAATTAATTCAAAATTACTTATACTTGAGATATTGATGGAATAGCTGAAAACTAATTATGCAAATAAGGTAACTAATATGAACAGATTTAAGTGTAAAACTAAAGGTCTGCACAATGTACCAAGTTTCATTGAAATGTGATTAGAACCCAAAAAATAATTATATTTATATAATAATTATTAATTATTATGCTAATTAGAGAATTAATATGTACAGATTTTAACCTAAAACAAGACATGAAATGTCACAGTCCCCGTTATTTGATTATAAAGTAGTACAAGGAACATCTGCAAACAGGTGAATAAATATGTACTCTTTGTGGGTACAACTCATCATAAAGTGATTTCCCATAATCTAGTTTTGTACTGACAACTAAAAACTTCCACTGA